GGAGCAAAAGTCTGCTTCTCTCAGACCTTGGGACTTGCCATAGGGTCTTTCTGTGGCAAAGCCCAGGTTTTGGAGTCCAATTGCTATCTCGAATAAGTTATTTGTCTCTATGAGCCTTAGTTTCCTCCTCTATAAATAGAGATACTAAAACTGACTTGGCAGGGTTAAGTGAGATAATGCAGGCCAAGTGCCTGGCATGCATGCAGTAGGTGCTCAACAAGTACAGCCTAATCCCTCTGCTTGCTTGACTCTGTGTACCTGTCCTGAAGAGGTGGGGATCATTGTCTTGGTTACCACTTATTGCAGCATCATAGATATCTTGCTCTGATTCCTTCATTCTGCTTCAGCTCACACTGTTGATTGAGAGGCTCCCATTAACCAAATCCCATTGACAAAACCCACCTAATTTCAGACCCAACAGAAAAAAAAAAGCTTCTGTATCTGTAACCTCTCTTACTACATCTGTCAGTGTCATATGCATTTAGTCCCGAATATGCAGGAAGCAGAAGCACTCCTTTTATAGATAGGGACAGAGAAAGTGTCTTCCTGCTCAGGCTCACTGCACACATCCTTGACGAAGTTCAGAGGAAAATCAAGTCACTTTCCAACTGGGTATCTCCAGACTCATTTTGTCTAGTCCTAAGTTCTTTTGTTCATTTCAGATGGGAGGAGGTTGGGTTCAAACTCTAGCTCACTGTTTTCATCTTCAGCCCACATCCCTCCAGCAAAATAATCAGCATTCATGTAGCCCAAACCAGGGAGAGGGAAGTCTTTGTTCAAATCATCCCATTGTACTTTGGGATTTCCGATAACGGAAACCTGGCAAACAGGCTTTTAAGTTAATAGGTTTTATTTGAGGACAGCAGCAGTCTGCATGTGCAGGTTTTTAGGTCTCCTCTCCCAGGGGTCTCTGTGACTCTGTGCCTGAGGGCACGCTGCTGGCAACTGAATGCCTTTCAAGGTTGCTCAGCTCGGGGGACAGGCTCTTCTCTGGGAAGAGGAGACGGTTTTTAGATGAGACTCTGTTCTTAGGTGAGGCTCGTCAGCAGAGTACACTCATTCTGAGGAGTTGAGGACAAATCATTGTCTGCCCCACCAGGCTCTTAATGGGAAACATGCCTGTGGGATGTAACTGGCTGAAGCAAATGTATCAGAATGCCCGCATCCAAGTGAGGGATGTTCCTTTCAGTGTTGTCTCTTCGGGAGGCTATACACATGCACTGTTGATGTCCCATTGCTCATTACCCATTGCGGTAAACCACCACTAGAAGTTTCCATCAGAGCCAGGTTTTCAGCCAAGTGAGAAAATTGTTTTTGAAACTTTTTTCATATCCCTGCTTTTGGATACCAGATGGTATCCCCAAGCATGACCACCATATTTTTAACTAGTTGTAATTCCAGATAACTTTTAGTTATTTCCAAAAGTCATAGTCATCCTTAGAAAACCGAGAGATCATGTTCTACATTGACAGCTTCAAAGAAACATCCTCTGAAGGCTGACCTTGTTACTTGGACAAGTGGGTAGCTGTGTGTGCCTTGTCCTTTCAAAGAGCCAGGTCAGGGATGCCAAGTATGAATTGAGTCCATGCCTTGAGTTGGGAGCTGTCACTGCTCATGGGGGGCCTTGGTAAAGACATCCTCCCTGTTTGTAGACAACACAGTCCCTTCCCTGGGGCATATGTAGTTTGAACTTTAGTCACGTCTCCTAATAAGTTTTCTATGAGTGTGGCTGAGCGGTATAGACCATGAGGAGTCGAACTGTCTTCATGTGTGTTTTCCTATTCTTTCCCCACTCCTTGCCCATCACTGCCCCTCACTGATGTCCAGTGTTGGGGCCATAACCAGTCATTCTCTAGCCAAAATCTGTTTATACCTGGCTCCCTAGGCGGGAGTTGTAGTCTCTTTCCTCACTTACCAAGGCTGCAGGGAAGTCATTTTTCTTTCCATATTACTGTCTGGGAGTAGCTCCCCAGCCAGCTAGCATCCCAGAAGCTAGGGTGGGGAGGAGACGTGGGGTTAGAATATGCGGGTTTGGGGGGTGTCAAGTTAAATGTCAAGATTATACAGTTCTTCATACTGCACTGGTGAGATGGTTAAAAAAAATTTTTTTAGGCTGGCTGTGGTGGCTCACACCTCTAATCCCAGCACTTTGGGAGGCTGAGGCAGGTGGATCACTTGAGGTCAGGAGTTAGAGACCAGCCTGACCAATGTGGTGAAACCCCCTCTCTACTAAAAGTACAAAATTAGCCAGGTGTGGTGGCACGTGCCTATAATCCCAGCTACTCGGTAGGCTGAGGCAGGAGAATCACTTGAACCTGGCAGGCGGGGGTTGCAGTGAGCCGAGATTGCACTGTTGCACTCCAGCCTGCGTAACAAGAGCGAAACTCCGTCTTAAAAAAAAAAAAAAAATTGTTAAAGATTGTAAGGTGTAAAAATGGCAAAAGTAGCTATTTGTCCTGGATTTCCTGACCAGTCACAAATCCAGATGGTCTTTTCTTTGTCCTACTGAGGTGGAATGGCACATCTAGTTGATGGAATATGATGCAGTTATTTCAAATGACATTGAACTGTCTTAAACTAATGGAGAAAGTATTTACATTACAATAAGTTTTAAAAATAAAGATGTAAAGTCACATATATAATTTTGATTATATGTAAACAAAAAACCACCCTTTTTCCACCCCCTTCCCCTGCAGAAAACCCAGGCATATAAAAAGGATGAATGTAACTATACCAAGTGTTACAAATGGTTTTCCTTTCAGTAGCTGGACTATGGGTGATGTTTTTCTCTCCATTTTTTCTTTTTTTTTCAGATTTTTTCTTATATTTCTCAAATATTCTGTAATAAGCCTATAATGTCTTAAGTGGGAATAAATTACATTTGATAAAATCCCAAACACGCCGGGTGCTGTGGCTCACACCTGTAACCCCAGCACTTTGGGAGGCCAAGGCAGGTGGATCACCTGAGGTTAGGAGTTTGAGACCAGCCTGGCCAACATGGTGAAACCCCATCTCTACTAAAAATACAAAAAGTAGCTGGGCTTGGTGGCAAGTACCTGTAATACTAGCTACTTGGGAGGCTGAGGGAGGAGAATCACTTGAACCCAGGAGGCGGAAGTTACAGTGAGCCGAGATCATGCCGCTGCGCTCCAGCCTGGGCAACAGAGCAAAACTCCATCTCAAAAAAAAAAAAAAAATTTTTTTCAAAGAAATCTTTTTTATCGTTGGATCTTGTATCCTGAATTTTAGCTTAGAGGTACAGCTGCCATAAATGAAGCAACCTGAGAGCTCTTTTTCCTTGTCTGACACTCCAGAAGTCTGAAGAGTCAGGCAAGACCAGGTTCCGGGATGTTTTGGACATAGTTCTGTCTGGAGAAAGGGGGTGGACAAGGCAGCCTTTTGGGCCGCCTTCCTGCCCCTGATCAGCAGTTATCTTGTTGCATACAGCCTCTGCCAACAGCAAATGTGGTGACATTCTCCCTCTGAGTGGGGAGCAGCAACAAAACTCTGGCTGGGTTGGAGGCCGGGGGCGTGGAATCTGGAGTGAGTGTCTGAGCTGATAAGGAGCCAGTGCTCTTTCTGCCTGGTAGGACTTGCGTCTCCAGCTGCCAAGCATCCCACAGGGCCCAGCCCTTTGGGAAGCTGGTGTCTGCTACAGTGGTCCTGCTGCTGGCATTGCTTGGGAAGTGCAGTAGTCACGGCTACTTCTGCAGAGAACTTCCCTTGTGGTGTAGGATATTGGGCTCTGTCTCAGGGCACAGAAAGGATCACTTATCTTTTGAGCAGCAGGGTCTTCGAAGAAAACAGTATATTTCCATGGTGGAAACTAGGATGTTCCCTCATTGCAGCGCTCTAAAAGTGTTCGTGTGAAGGACTTTCTGAATGCTGCTTCGTCAGTTGCGTCCTGCCTGGATCCTCTAGCTCCATCTCCTCAGGGTCCTTGCCCAGGCCTCCAAAGCAGATTTTTTCCACTCTTCAGGCAAAGAGCCTCAGTTTTCTGTGGTCTGCCTGGTCTCCAATGACCTGGATTCTGTTGCCTATCGGAGCAGTGGACAGAACGTGGAGACTTCCACTTTGAGGAAGGCTTGCTGATCCTGGACTTAGCAGGGTCTTGGCATCAGGCATCCAGCTGTCCAGGAATAGGTACTGGATTTGTGTGGAGGGATTTGTCACCACTGCCTTGAAAGACTGGCAAATGCTGGGTATCTGCGGAGGCAGGTGAGGAGGACTCTTCAGTGGCTCTTGAGTGTCACACTAAGATGCTCCCAGAGAGTTGGCCATCCCAGGGCAGCCTCTTGGTGGGAAGTTCCATGTGTCTGGGATGCTAATGGGGAAGCCCCAGAGATTCTTACTGGGGGCCCAAGGCTTATTTCATTTCTTCCTGCTCTCCAGGCATAGCACAATGGGTTAATATCTCTGATAGCTCTATTTTGGGGCAAATGGAGTGTTCCCAGAATAGGACTCTTTGTTGAGTAGTCTATTTTGGGAGACAAGCCCCACTGGCATTTATGTAAGGGATTCTCTGTGTGTATCTGGGGGTGTGGTTGTGTGCGCCAAGTGATTTCTTGTTACTAATTATAAACAGCTTCTTTTGGGAGCCAGGGAAATGGAGGTGTGTGTGAGGGTATGGATTGCTCTTGCGTGCTGAGAAGAGTGGCACATCTGTGCATGCCCATCAGATGGGGCAGTTGTCACAGACACCTGATTAAGAGAGTGAGTGTGGGGACTTCCAGACAACAGCAGGGATGACAGTCTGTCCTCCTTTGTTGGGGTGTCAGGCTGTGGAGATGTGCTTGTTTGTCACCCTCTTGATTCCCTGAAACATACGGGCAGGCTGGACATCGCAGCCCTCTGGCTGCAGTCTGGAGTCAGGCAGCCTCCAAACAATCAGGTTTGGGTTGTTCTAAGCCCAGCAACAATTCCTACCTGAAGCTGATCTTACTGCACTTCCTACTCTGCAGCTCAGCTCTTACTCACTGGAATCCCCTGTCTTCCCACAGGCCAAATCCACATATGTCGAAGCAAGAGAGAAACCAAAGACCGTCCAGCATGGTCAGTGAAACATCCACAGCTGGGACCGCCTCCACCCTGGAGGCCAAGCCTGGACCCAAGGTGAGCTCCTGGCCCCTTGTTCCTTCCTTCCCCTCTTTTATATTTTGCCAAGCCCCTTTGTAACCAGCAGTCTATTTGATCTTCACTATAGTTTTGTGAGAGAGACCCATAGAAGTGTTCTCCCCGAATGACAGATTAGGAAATTGAGGCCAAGAGGGGTATGTCCCTTGGGCAACAAAACAGGTGATTGCTGACAGATCCAGCACTGGTGTCTAGGTCCTTGAGCATGTTCTTCACTTTCCTCGTGTAGTTGGGAGGGCCACGTTTCTGTTTACATGTAGCTGTGTGTTAAGGAGAGCCTGGAGAGATTTGGTGACATGAGGCCCTGAGAAAGGGTGCCCTTGGAAAGGACCCAGAAGTTTTTGTGCTCCAGGTGTAGAAACGCTAAGGATCAGGGAAAAGAACCAGCATTGAGGAGAGGAGGAGAGTGCCAAGGGATGAACCCAGATAGGAAGGGTAAATATCTGGAAATTGGCAAAAAGCTGTGACCAAAAATTAGCTTTGCTTCAGAAAACCACGGAACATATTATAGCCAACAACTGCTGCTGAAAGTTGATTGAAAAATTCCTTTTAATTTTTTTTTCTGTGACCCAGCTGGGAGGTTTGGCAGGTCGTGGGCTTGCCTTTTAATTAGAATGCTGTGGCCATGTGCACGCCCATTCCCTGTCTCCTGGCTGTTCATTTGATCAAAGGGTGCTGCCGTTTAGAGTGAAGCAGAGAGAGCCGACGGTCCTCCTAACATACAAGTGCTTTTTTATGTCACCTTAAATTCCCTGCTGCTAAAATTCAGTCTGCTTTGTTGTAGATCATAAAGTCCAGCAATAAAGTCCACAGCTTTGGGAAGAGAGACCAGGCCATTCGGAGGAACCCCAATGTTCCCGTGGTGGTGAGGGGCTGGCTGCACAAGCAGGTGAGGATGCCGAGGAGTGAGAATTGTGGAGGAAATGGCTCTGACTGAGTTCTCTCCTTTCCCAGTCCCCAGGAAGCTAGGGACGGGCACATAAGCTTTCTGTTACTGAGTTTGTCTGAGGCAGCTGGATTCTACCTGCTGCACTGCATTATTTGCTGTTTGTTCTTACGAGTGAACTGTCGGCTCAATGGTTACAGCTTCTCTCCCAAAACTCACTTGACCACTTTGGTCCCTGGTGCTATTGGCTGCCCTGGGGTCCAGGCCACAGTGTGGGTGGTCAGCCTGAATCCAGCCTTCCTGCCAGTCCACTACTTGCCCTGGCCTTCCTGATGTCAAAGATTCTTTGTTATTATTTGGCTGAAAATTTTCATCTTTTCCTCTCCCCCTTGTCTAGCATACATATCCACCTAGCATCTCAAATTCCAATTCAGCCAAATTCAGCTCATTATCTCCTCACTACCCTGGCCTGCCATTTCCCCAGGACTGCTTTCTCCAGATCTTAGTAATGTTACCACCATTCTCCCAGGCACTCAGGTTGGAAACCTCAGCATTATCACCAGATCCTCCTTCCCCCACATGCATTCAGTCAGGAAGTCTTGTCAGCTCTGTGGGCTGAGGTCATTCTTCATTGGAATCCCTACTGCCAGTTGACCTGCCTGGGGTCCTCTGTTCATGGCTGGGTTGCGAGTTCCCAGAGCTAGAGACCCTGTCTCTTTTGCTCTTCTTCTCTCCTTGCCGGTCATTCATTCATCTATGCTGCAAAGTGCCTGCCATGTCCTAAGCTGCTAAGAGCAAGTATCAAGAGAAAGTAATGTGGTTCCTGCCCTTGAGGAACTCATCAGCTACCAGGAGAAGCAGATAGCATATCTCTCACTTGTCACATTGTCACTCAGCCCCGTCTCGCACCTAGCATAGCATCCAAAAATGTCAGAGCTGCAATGTAAGTTTTGGTGAAGCTTTGTGGGAAGACAGAGGAGGGCATTACATTGCATAGCACACAGGAGAAATCCCAAAAGTCCCCTTAAAATCTTCCTCTGCAACTCTGGCCCTATGGCAGCTGCAACAGCTCCCTGCCTCTTCTGTTGGACACTCCTGGTACCACCCTCTCTTGCTCTCACTTGCCCCTCACAGTCCTGTCCTGCCTCTTTTCTTACATTTGCCCATGTCTTTTTCTCACTTGAGTCATTTAACCCTCTGACTTCTTTCGTTTGCATCCCTGTCCCCGTTAAACAAAGGATGCTCCTTTGACATATGGAGAGAGAGGGAAGTATTTGTAAATAATTCCCAACACCTAGCCCAGGCCCTTTGGCTGTACTGTAACCAAAGGGATCTGTGTGCTGTGGACACACAACAGACAGTGGCTATACTGGGCATTGTCCAGAAAGGCTTCCTGGAGGAAGTGATATTTGAACCAGGCATGGAAGCATAGATAAGAGGTCTCCAGACAAAGCAAATATCATGTGCCAATACCTTAGAAATCATCTCTTGATTTGCAGAAGATAAAACTGATAAACAGTTGAAATCATCAAGTTAAATTTGCTTTTAGCATTTTAGTAAGTAGAGGAGGAACAATCCTCATGTTGTATTTCAGTTTGGAAATTGTTAGATTTTTTTCAAGCTTGTCAAAAACTTCTGCAGAAGGAAGACAATTTAACAGCCATCTCTATTTTTTTAATTAAAAAAAATTTTTTTACAGATGGGGTATCACTATGTTGCCCAGGCTGGTCTTGAATTCCTAGCCTCAGGCGATCTTCCTGCCTCAGCCTCTCAAAACACTGGGATTACAGATGTGAACAGCCATCTCTAAAACTAAAAGATGCTCTGAGGTTTTCCTAGGTTTGAGAGAACACTCACCCTAAAACATTCTGTTTTTCTGCCTTTGCCATGTTTTTAAAAAATATTCACAATAATTTAAAACACTACTGATAAATACAAACATTTACATTTCAGATGAGTAAAGACAGATTTTTCTTATGAGACAATTTGATAGCAAAGAGAATCCAAATCCTTTTATATTGAATGGAAGGAAAACACAACAGCAGAATACATCCTATATGGCACAGAACTGAGCATAGTCTAATGAGAACTTTGCCTCACTTAATTCATTAGGTAACTTAGACTCTTTTTAATAGTTCAATGTAAATTCAGTTTTCCAGTCAGCACAAATGGAGGTATTTGATAGCGTAGCCACCTAAATAATAAACAAACAAAAACCTTTTTGTTAAGAACTGATTCCTTTCTTAATTTACTTTCTAGAAGAAAATGGCTTATAATATTATACATTAATTTGTTTCTAGGAGACAAAAATAAAAACCCTGCTTCCTTAGGATAAACCATTATTTAATCTAAGTTCTAATGTCCTATTCAAAGAATGGTTATTCAATAAAATGGTTTTTATTTATTAAAAGAAAGAGTGAATATGGGCAAATATTTGGTTCTGGAATCAGGTTGTGCATTCTTGGAAAGGGACAACAGTATGCCCAGATATGACCCTGACTAGTTTTCTTTGCTTTGCAGGACAGTTCTGGGATGAGACTGTGGAAAAGGAGGTGGTTTGTGCTTGCTGATTACTGCTTATTTTACTATAAAGGTGAGCTAACAAGTAGCTTATTACCCTGCCAAAGTGTTTAGTTTTACATATGTGGATGGTTGGTGACTTCGGTTTTACCAGTCCTGACACAGGAAGTTCAGTCTGTTGGGTTAAAGTAAATAGAATCCAGTTTGCCTGCTACTAAGGGTCTCAAGATTCAGAGTCATTTCTGTTTCTGTCCCATTTGGGACATAGGTCCACCTTTGAGGTACTCTGGAGAAATGAGAAGTGTGGATCATTGATTGTATTTTGTAACCTGTCATCTGGATTTATTGGACGTTGGATGGGCAACTGGTGAATTGAATTGGCCATCTGAGCTTCTGTGGAGCCCCAGAACATAAAGTTAGGGACTACGTGTTGTTAAGAGGGAGGTCTCAAAATGCGGAGAAAGAGCTTACTTTTAAGATGAGGCTAGACTGCTATTGGTGCTTTCAAAGCAGTTCAGGGGGACTGAGAAGTGAATTCCATCATGGGAGAATCTGAGGAGGCTTCTTAGAAAAAAGAGAGGAGATAGGCTTTTAAGAATGGGTAGGGCTGGCTGGGCGCTATGGCTCATGCCTGTAATCTCAGCACTTTGGGAGGCCAAGCAGGTGGATCACCTGAGGTCAGGCCTTCGAGACCAGCCTGGCCAACATGGTGAAACCCTGTCTCCACTAAAAATACAAAAATTAGACGGGCATGGTGGGGGGCGCCTGTAATCCCAGCTACTTGGGAGGCTGAGGCAGGAGAATCACTTGAACCCAGGAGGCAGAGGTTGCAGTGAACTGAAATCGTGCCCTTGCACTCCAGCTTGGGCAACAAGAGCGAGACTCCATCTCAAAAAAAAAAAAAAAGAATGGATAGAGCTTTGCCTGTGTGTGGGTCAGGGGAGGATGGACATTACAAGGGGAGGAAACAACTTGGCTGAAGTTCTGGAAGCAGTGGAACGGATGAGCCCAGGGAAGCTGCCCAGAAGGTTGTTCTGATGCGTTTTTCCATTCAAAGATAGCCGAGAAGAAGCGGTCCTCGGGAGCATCCCCTTGCCCAGCTACGTGATCTCGCCTGTGGCCCCTGAGGATCGCATAAGCCGCAAATACTCCTTTAAGGTACTGCCCCTACACCTCTAATGCAGCCATTCTGTCTAAAGAAACTGTGTTCTCAAAATGCTTTCACAAAAGCAGTTGCTTTTGTCAGGAGGGGGAAGAAGCTAAGAAGCTAGAGAGTGTCAGATTCAGGTTAACAAAGTTGTAAGTTATTTAAACAAGAATAATATCACATGACCAGTACTGTCATTTGACTCTAAGTTTTGAAGTCGCCAAGCCATGTTCAAGTATTCAGACCACTCCTTCCTGTCACTGCCAGTCTTGTGGTTACCTATCGAAGCCCTTCTTGAGCTATCTTATCACCGTACTCAGCCAGCCTAGCATCCAGCCATTTCTTGCAACTGGTGACCCCTCATAATGGGTTTGTATCCATTATATTATGAAAACTCACATTGACGGTTAGAGGCCTGTGTGTTGAAGAGGCTGTCAGCTTTGTCCACTTTGTTTATCTTGTTGAAAAGCAATTAGAATGAAATTTGGTTTATCTTCTGGATCATAGAAGATTTCCAGGCAGATCCCTTTACCAGTAAAACCCCTTTCCTACTTGTTCTGTGTCTGTACCATTTGGGCTGAGTGAGGCCATGATAATTAATGGCAGTTTCGCCCTGTAGCACCTGTCAGGTGTGGAGGCTCTTGGAAGGTGTGTTTAGGCTCAAACATAGGGAGTCCTGAGGTCTTCTCTGTTGGTGACCTCCATGGATTTCCTTCACTGCAGGTGTTAAGATCTTGGGTCCCCCAGGGAAGGTAAGGGTGGGGTGGATTGAAGATCTGCTTTACTGGCAGTTGGTGTCCTAGGCAGAGTGGACATCCTAGAGAGCACTGAAGCAAGCAGCCCTTGGTGCCAGTTGCCACAGGGCACAGCCCTCTCTTGGCTGCTTAAGATATGAGGCAGTGTCATACACTTCAAGCTGGAGTAGGGGCTCCTGCTCCCACTATACTTGTTGCTTGGCCATTTCCATGTTGGGGGCACAAGATGAATACTAGACAGTGGGTAGTAAAAAAGATTGAACAGAAGTCATGCTTTCCAACTGTAGATAAAGGATCATGGGAAAGTTCAAGGTAAGATGCCTGTCATTGTCTGGAAGGGTTAAAGGAAAGTGTTGGTCTGCAGCTGGTCCTTCATCTGTGAGGGGCTTGCAAAGTCAGAGTCTCCATCAACATCTTGATCTGGAGCCATGGTGGTGCTGGTGGTTGGAAAGTCAGTCTCATCTTCCTTCTACTTTTCCTTCCTAAGGAGGCACAGAACTGAGCTGATGCTGTGGCTTTACTCATCAACAGGTTTGAGTTGTTCTTCTCTTTCCCTCGAGTGATGCTACTGAGTGTCACTCCAGAATTGCTAGGATTGGTGATCCTGGGATACTGCTCTGTGTCACGTTCATGTGTGGAATACTGTTGCCTTATATCTTTAAAACATGATTTGGGAAGTACTTTTATACATGTGACCTCATTTAATGCTCATGGTGAGGGAAGGATATGAGAGCTTAAGAAACTTGCCCAAAGTCACAAAGCTGGAAGATGACAGAGGCAGACTTGGCCTTGAATTCTATTCTCTTTCAGTTTTCTTATAGGGCTCCCACTTTGTATTATTTTCTCTTCTTCCTAGCTTTTCTTCCATGTCTTATCTTGATCACTTGCTGCACAGACATCACAGGAGGTAGAAGGTGGTTTGAATTGACATTTATTGTATCATTTTAGAAACTTATTCCTGGCTCTGAAAACATTTTGTTCAGTGGCTTTCAGATTCATCCTTTACAGCCTGAAAAATCTTCCTTAGAAAACCCTCCTTTCTAGAGTTGAGCACTGCCCAGTTGGGCAAACAATTGGGATAGTGATGTTGCATATGATGTTTTGGGAACAACATTTGGCATATCCTTAAAGTAACATATCATAACTATATATATATTTTTTATCTTAACACTTCATTGGAGGTGTGAAAGTAGATTCTAGGCAAACATCTTTAATCTGTCTTAGATTTCTTTTCTTTTCTTAACATTTTTCTTAGAAAGACTTTACTGAGAATGTTCCCTAAATCTTTTGTCTGAGAGACAGAAGGCATCATGTGTTTGGGAGAGGTCTTTGAGGTCCTCAGGATCTGAGAGCAGAGAAAAGCTACTACGGACAGATCTGGTGGTGTTTAGATGGTTCTCCAGAAAGGGCAATGATTTCGTGAGTCTGAAAGAGTTATCTTTTCATTTGGGTTGCAGCATCCTTCTTTTAGGGGCCAGAGGGTAGGCCCTGGGGGCCTGCCGCTCAGGGTCCATATTCTTGGGCAAACCAAGGAATACACAGTGTTTTGTGCCTGGTCTTGATACCTGCCTTTGATGTTGGTCCTTCTCTGTATATAGAGCTGAAGTTCTCAGACTGGTGCTAGGGTACCTTGTCGGAGATAATTCAGAGTATCCACTGTACCTGGCCTACTTTTTAACCTTTAGCTGAAAGGTAACATTTTTTTCAATTAAGAAAGCAGGTCACAATGTGTATCAGCAGTACCTGTGACTTGGTCACCAATAGAAACTATAGATATCTTCATAACACATTACAGCTGTTGCAGGTATCTTCAAATATCATTTATGCTCATCACCATTTTAAAATCACAATAATTATTACATCTGCCACCAGATTCATTATGCAGTACGTTAATAAACAAACACCTGCATCACTAGACCACACATTTAAAAAATATTTTAAGAACTATATTTCAGTATAATAGATTTCCCTTATTTTGCATGCTTAACAGTCTGGAAAAGGTTCATAGTAGTTATCAAACTGTTGAAAGTGTCCATGCCATAAAAAATGTTCAGGTCCCTGCTCTAGATTCTGAAGACATGCCAAGAGGCATAGTTTTTCACTTATGTAGTTCCATTTTATAAACTTCTGTTGCACGCTCTGATTGTCTATTGGGTAGTATAATAAATGGTAGATACAGCAATGAATAGGACAAAATCCTTGCTTTTTTAGAGGTTATATTCTCAAGTTTGCATCAGCATGTGTATTATTATAGAATGAGAAGACACCAAGAAAGAGCTGCCTTTTTTCTCTCTCCTTTCAATTTTGTTCTTTGTATATCTATCAAATTCATCTCCTCCTCTCCACTTTTGCTGCCACTATTCTGTCTTGGCCACTACCGTCCCTCCCCTGGGGAGCACACTATGGAGCAGGACCTAGTGTATAGTAAGTGCTCTGTAAGCATTAGCTGTCGTTGATTCAGCCTTGGAACTCCTCTGCAGCCTACAGTTCATCCTTTATGCTATTCCTAAGTTGCACCCTTGTTCCAGTTGTATTCCCACTGTAAGCCCTTCAGTGGTTCCCCATTGCTTTCAGGATAAAGCCAATCATTTTTTTTTTTTTTTTTTTGGAGTACAATGGCACAATCTTGGCTCACTGCAACCTCCGCCTCCCAGGTTCAGGCGATTCTCCTGCCTTAGCCTTCTGAGTAGCTGGGATTACAGGCACCTGCCACTGTGCCCAGCTAATTTTTTTTTTTTTTTTTTTGTATTTTTAGTAGAGATGGGGTTTCACCATGTTGGCCAGACTGGTCTCGAACTCCTGACCTCAGGTGATCCACTGGCCTTGGCCTCCCAAAGTGCTGAGATTACAAGCGTGAGCCACTGTGCCCAGCTGATTAAGCCAATTGTGATTCATGAGGCCCCAGCTTATATCTGCAGCCACATTTTTAGCCACTCCTACCTTATGTCTTTCCTCTAGCCATATACAATTGCCTAAGGCCCCAGGACCTTTCTTGCCTATAGGCCTTTACTTAAACTTCAGCCATAGCCTGGAATGCCCTTTCCCACCTCTTACTTGTCCTTCAGTTCTCTGCTCAAGGTCACCTTGTCTGGGAAGCCTTCTCTGAGCCCTCTGGACAGGTTAAATATCCTTCTTCTCTACTTCCACAGCTTTGTCTCACTGCACTGTAAATGGTTGACTCACCCACCCAGACCTTTCACCGGGAAAACTGGTTCATCAGCTAGTTCTGCTAGTCCCATTCTGTAGACAGAGACCACAGGGAGTGTTCATGTGTAATTGGAATTGTGGCCAATGACAGTGCTTGTACTTCCCAAGATATGGTGGGGTCAGGCTTACTTGTGTTTTGTATTTAGTTCCCTATAAATTTGTGATGGGGAGGGAGGAAGAAGAGTCTTAAAGTTTCCAGAATGCTGTTTCAGCCAACCTCCCTAGGTTGCTCAAGTGACTGCTCCTTCAGTAACATCAGCTGACATCTTTTGAGCCTTACAAATGCCAGGCTGTGCTCTAAGCAGTGTATGTCTCATTTCATCTTCACGTGGCCTTATAAGGTAAATGCTACTTTTACCCATAGTCCCATTTTAAGCATGAGGAAACAAAAGCATGAGGAAGTTGAATAATTTACCCAGGGTTACCCAGTGGGCAAGAGGCAGAGTCCATCTTGGACCTCAGGCTGATTCCAAGAGCCCAAGTTCTTACCCTGTTCACTGTACTGCTTGTAGTCAGCCTAAAGGTTGGACATGAGAATCTCATTTTCTCTTCTCCCCTCCCCTCCCCTCCCCTCCCCTCCCCTCGACGGAGTCTCGCTCCGTCACCCAGGCTGGAGTGTAGTAGCGTGATCTCCACTCACTGCAACCTCTGCCTCCCAGGTTCAAGAGATTCTCCTGCCTCAGCCTCTTGAGTAGCTGGGGCTACAGGTGCCCACTACCACGCCAGGCTAATTTTTGTATTTTTGGTAGAGACTGGGTTTTACCATGTTGGCCAGGCTGGTCCTGAGCTCAGGTGATCCACCTGCCTCAGCCTCCAAAAGTGCTACGATTACAGGCATGAGCCACTGCACCCGGCCCCTTTTCTTAATCTCAATAAATGGTCACCACTGCCTCTGCAAGTTGTAAACTCGAGACTCTTATCCTTTATACCTGGTGTTCCCTCTCCTCCCATATCCAGTCCATTACCAAGGCCTGCAGATATTACCTGCAAGTTCTCTCCAGACCCTGTCTGCTCCTCCCCTTTTCTGCCTCCACCACCATCTCTCACCTGTGCTCCTGTAGTAGCCTCCTGACCTATCCCCCCTCACCTGTTTCTGCTGATTCGCACCTCTTCTCTGTACTGCAGCGAGAGTGGTCTTTCCAAACAAAATCTGATCACATCATTCCCCGGTTTAAACCCTTTAATAAGGCTGGGTGCAGTGGCTCAGCACTTTGGGAAGTCAAGGTGGGTGGATCACTTGAGCCCAGGAGTTTGAGACCAGCCAGGGCAACATGGCAAAACCCCATCTCTACATAAAATACAAAAATTAGTCGGGCATGGTGGTGTGCTCCTGTAGTCCAGGATACTCAGGAGCCTGGGGTGGGAGGATTGCTTGAACCAGGGAGGAGAAGGTTGCAGTGAGCCAAGATAGTGCCACTGCACTCCAGCCTGGACAACAGAGCAAGACCTTGTCTCAAAACAAAGCAAAACAAGACAAAACACCCTTTAATAGTTTCTCATTGCTCTTTCATGAAGACAAAACCCTACATGATCTGCAAGGCCCTGGTGGTCTGGCCCTGCCAACTTCGGCAGCATCCCTTTATGCGGTTTTTCCTCCATTCCTCTGCGCCAGTCATGCTGGCCTCATCATTGAAGATGAACACACTGTGCGCACGTGTCCTTCATGGGGTGCTACCTAGCTCCTCCCTGCTATTACTTAAATGGCTACCTGCTATGTAGAAGGCAGCTGCAATGTCAGTTCCTCAGGGATCAAGCTGGGCTCCCCTGTTATCTTCCTCACAGCATCCTGACCTTGATGACACTTACTACAGCTGTAGTTACTTATCCATAGTATTTCTCTTCTATGTGGCTATAAACTATCATGACCTTGTTTAATGCTGTCCCTCCAACTTTGGTAGGGTGCCTTTCACATAGTAAATACTCAATAAATGATTCATTATTGTTGAACAAGTTCCAGAATGAACCAGCCAGTTGATGGGCCCTGGGTGCTCCTGTATTTTCCACTGAGGTTTCTCTATTCTAAAGGCTGATGTTGGAGGCTTGAACCATGAGGATTCTGGCTCCTTCACCAGTGCTGTGTCTAGAACTGAGGTCCAAGAGCCAGGAGAGCAACCATATCCTATGGGTGTCATGTCTTTGAAGTAAATTCTTCACTCACATCCTGATTTCCTTTAGGCATAGCTTGTTTTCTATTCAGTTATGCAAAGTTGCTTCATAGGATTATGTTAACTGGAAAGCAAGGAGCAGAGAAAACTGTACCATCTCTGAGTTGACACTAGGGCAGGAGTGAGAAGATTCACATCATCTGGGTCCTAGGCTCAGGACATTTTGGACTGGGGTCACTTGGCCAGATTAAAAGGAAACTCTCTGTACTTCTTGCCTTCACAGTTAATCCATCGTATATGCCCTCACACAGGCAGAATGCAGTTGGAATCTGCTCTTCAGAGTCAACAGCAGCTGGGCACAGCACCTGCTCATTTATTAGTGACCAGGGTTATATTTGCAATCATGTGTAACTCCTTCATAATGGTGGATGTAACTCTCAAGGCTCATTTGCAAATAGACATGCAAACCCATGTCTGCATGTTTGAGGCATGTCCCATGTTGATTTCCTGGACAAGGCTGGCTCTGTGAATTTTTGTACAGCAGGGATCTACTGTCTTTATTGTACCTTAGAGGGCTCCCCATGCTTGTGTGTATTGGGATAGGCACCTGTCCCAGAATCCTCTATAGGTGGGCACAAAAGGCTGGGAGAGTGTGTCAGAGATCTTGTGGGATCATTATCCAAGGGATATTTTCCAAGAATTTTTGCTGATTTTCAGTAAGACATGCACAGGTTCCTTCTTATTCTGTTCTTTTTTTTTTTTTCCTTTGAGACAGAGTCTCACTCTGTCACCCAGGCTGGAGTGCAATGGCTCAATCTCAACTCACTGCAACCTCCACCTCCTGGGTCCAAGCAATTTTCATGCCTCAGCCTCCCGAGTAGGTGAGATTACAGGCATGCGCCACCATGCCCAGGAATTTTTTTTTCATTTTTAATAGAGACGAGGTTTCAACATGTTGCCCAGGCTGGTCTTGAACTCCTGACTTCAGGTAATCTACCTGCCTTGGCTTCCCAAAGTGCTGGGATTACAGGTGTGAGCCACTGCGCCCTGCCTTATTCTGTTCTTATTGGCATATTTCCACCTTGCTTAAAATAGAAGGAATCCTTCCTGTGATAGTGAATACCTTATACATGCAAAGGAAGGATATCAGGTTTGCTTCAGCCACTATAGGGATCCTTGGCTGCAGGCCAAGTTTGCCTAGACTCCCTTGGCACTGAGCTGGATGGACTCAGATATGTAAATGTCAGAAGCAGGCCCATATTTACTATGCATTTTAGATCTGGATTTTAAGAGGGCAGGGAGGAGAAGTAAATGCTGAAGGTTCATTTGAGAGGTTTTCATCTATGACCATTAGTGATTCCAGAAGCATGTCATTGTCCAGTTTTTCATTTGTTCTCATTTTGTTTTCTCTGCCCGGTCCTTGCATGGGGTCTGCCTTTCATGCTGGATTCAGAGTGTCGAACCAGTTATCTGTGTAATCACCCTCACTTCTGGATAGTACCTGGGAGCAATATACAGAGAAGCCTGGACTTGGAGTCAGACCTGGGTTCTAACGCTTCGTTCTTTCAACAGATGTTTATTGAGCATCTGCTATGTGTCAGGCACTGTTCCAGGGGATATAGTAGTGAACAAAATAGCAAAGTTTCTACTCTCATGTAGCTTATATTTATAGAGGAAGGAGACAGATGATAAGCAGGTAATAAGTGTGTAAAATAAATAGCATCAGGTAATGGTAAGTGCTGTGAAGAATCTGTTACCAGGTGTGGAAATCTGGGAAAGTTACTTAACATCTCAGAGGTTCATTTGCTACATCTGTAAAACAGAGATTCTGTCTTCACCTCTCAAGGCTGTTAAGAGTTACAATGATATTAAATTGTGGAAGTACCTAGGACACACACAGTAGGTACTCAGGAAATCTTCCTCTTTTCACATCATCTTCTTATGTAGATTTGGTGAGATTGTTCCTTGCAAACTTAAAAGATGGCTCTCTGGTTTATCAGAGCACAGGGGGAAAAACTGGTATTGTCTCTGATTTGCAAATCTTCCCATTTTTCAGTGGTCATTCTGAGTACCTATTTTCGAGATTTTTTTTTTTTTTTTTTTTTTTTGCAAGGATACATGTGAAAGCACCTTGAGGCAGAAGGACAGTGTAGGTTTGCAAGAATATTTAGTTAACTGTTGGTCATCTCTGTCCACCTCTGTAATGCCTCTCTTTTGAGAGCTTGTTTGGAGGTTCTAGCAGGGGACTGCAGCTACTTGTATACCCTTGACTGAAGACCAGTCCTCCTCTGTCGTGGATGGTCTTCCTCTTCGACTGAGTGTGCAGCTTCAGGAGGGACGCATATGGAGCAGTGAGGGAGGAAGGGGATACCCGCTTAGCCAGCTGGATTAGCCACATCAATCCTGGTGATCAATGGGGTGACAGATGTCACAGCCAGATTGCCCTCACATCCTGTAGTGCCTCTTTTCGAGAGACAGAATAGCAGCTTCTTTCAGGAGCACACATCACACTTCATGCCTAAGCAGTGAAGCACAGTGAACATCCACATCAAGCCACCTGCTGTTGCAGCCAGTTTTGAGTCAATTCTTGTCTGATTATAGCCAAAGCAGGAATCGCAGGCTTCAGCAAAAACAAAACAGGGATTCCCAAGAGTCTGCCTCTATGAAATGAGGGTTTTCTGAAAAGCCTGTTTCTCACATAAGCCTTGACTTTGTGCACACTCCCAACCCCCAAAGCAGGAGTAAGATAAGTAGGAAACAGTTACAGCTACAGGGCTTTTACTGTGGGGAGCAGACAGCTGTCATGGCCTGGCTGCACTAAGAAAGAGAAATCTAGCCTATGACGTTTTCTAGGAGTGGAAACAAGTTGGGTGGTGCTTGGACTTTTAGTCTGGAAGGGCCATAGTGCCTCCTTGCTTCTGCTCCTATAAAGGAAATGCGTGATAACCTCCCTCTGACCTGCATTTCTGTCTTCATGCTACAGGCTGTGCACACAGGGATGCGAGCGCTCATCTATAACAGCTCCATGGCGGGCTCTCAGGCCGAGCAGTCGGGCATGAGGACCTACTACTTCAGTGCCGACACCCAGGAGGACATGAACGCTTGGGTCAGGGCCATGAACCAGGCTGCACAGGTGCTGTCTCGATCATCACTGAAGAGGTTAGTCCTGATGGAGAGTCCCTGCCACAGCACCTCCTACACTAGGATTGGGACCCAGATAGGTCCTCTTGGGTGCCTGAGATTCCATTTGCTCACTTGTAGTAAGCATTACCCTCTCTTTATAAACTTTCTTCATTAAACAAAAACACTAAGGCCTGGAAGGGTGAAATGACTGCCTGGGATCCACAGCCATGGAAACTGGCATGTGTGTGCTTCTCGGTTTTTCTTCTCTTATGTATGAAGGGACAACCTTGGGGCACCAGGTGGGGAGAGGACAATCAAGAAAGGTCTTGCAAACTGAAAATCTGCTATAGACTAACTGCCATGTTGCTGGGATCTGACCTGGGAGTCATCTTCCAGTTGCTCTCTCTCTGAAATAGTTCAACCAAGCATATAATCAGAGATCTTGAAATTCCTGAGTCTGTTGGCTGTAGGTGATTCCCTGAGAGAAAACAAGAGGAATATGAGTGAAGTCAAGGGCTCAGAGAGAGAGATCAGAGTGGCCCTGAAAAAGTCTGGGTATACCTTTATCTGGCCTTCATCTCACATTGGGCCCATTCCTTCCTATCCTGACACTTTGCTCTTTGACAGTGTTCTTTCAGTGAGGCCTCAGAACTGAAGCGTATTCTCTTGCAACCTAAGGGTGGAACTTTTTAGTGACTGAAAATGGATTGCACTGGTATGTTTAGCTTGTGAATCTTTCCACCTCACATATATGTGGTTTTCGGAATTCGTGGTACTTCCTAGCTTTATGATCTCTTTCATGCAGCATACAGACCTCATGAAATATAAATAGAGGTATAAATAGTGACCTCCATCAAGAGGCCAGGGTATGGTCAGGCTCTTCCCTCTGAAGCTCACATAGCACTTCAGTCTGAGCATTTTTCACACTGTTTTTGTTTCCCCCTTCTAATTTTCAGTATCCTAGGCTTAAAGCAGAGATCATCTTTATATCTTGGTTTTGTTTTGTTTTGTTTTGTTTTGTTTTGAGACGGAGTCTCGCTTTTGTCGCCCAAGCTGGAGCGCAATGGCACAATCTTGGCTCACTGCAACCTCTGCCTCCTGGGTTAAAGCGATTCTCCTGCCTTAGCCTCCTGAGTAGCTGGGATTACAAGTGCCCGCCACCATGCCCAGCCAATTTTTTGTATTTAGTAGAGACGGGGTTTCACCATGTTGGCCAGGCTGGTCTTGAACTCCTGACCTCAAGTGATCCACCCACCTCAGTCTTCCAAAGTGCTCGGATTACAGACGTGAGTCACCATGCCCGGCCTGTCTTTATATCTCAATGCACAACATCTGACACATAGTAAGCTCTCAAATGTCTTTGAGTGAGTGAGTGAGTGAGAGATTAGACGAATGAATGAATGAAGATATTGAACAGGACAGGACCAAAGACTGCCCTAGGAGCTTCCACATGGGCCCTGAATCAGTAACAGTCAATTTTGGCTCTACTTTCTAGCATTGTCATCCAGCCTGCATTTTTCTGTTGTTTCTATAATAATGATCTGAAAGGCTCTGCCTGAGCCTGCGGGGCTCAGCTCACGGTGTGGTTGGCATCTCCCTTCTCACCGAAGGAGAAGGAAACTGGCTAGATCTGACACATCTTACTCCTAGTGCACAAGCTAGTCCCCAACAGTCACTGTTTCCTGGTCTTTATTCTTCATTCTTTTAATATACATATATGTTTACAGTATATGTGTATAGTCATTCCTTGGTATCCATGGAGGACTGGTGCCAGGAAACCCCACAGATACCAGAATACTCAGAGTCCCTTATATAAAATAGTGTATTTGCATATAACCTCTGCACATGCTTTAAATCATTTCTACATTGCAAGATTACATATAATACCTAATACAATGTAAATGCTATGTAAATAGTTGTTATACTGTATTGTTTAGGAAATAATGACAAGAAAATAAGTCTGCATGTGTTCACTACAGACACAACCATCCTTTTTTTCCCCTCTAAATATTTTTAATTTGTGGTTGGTTGAATCCATGGATATGAAACCCTGGATACAGAAGGCCGACTATGTGTATATATACATATGTGCGTGTGTGTGTATATATATGTATACATATAGTTAAGTACATACAAATTTTTAAATGTATATTAATTGTATATTTAACTATATAATGAATGAAAACATTCTCAGTATAAAAATGCAAAAACTAAAGACAAAGATATCCCAAATCACCTTCCGAAGGTAATCTCTATAATCAGGTTAATTGACTTTTAAACTATTTTCTATGCATTTATATATATGTATATGCACTTATATGTAAGTTTCTCTTGTGCTTTCTGAAAGCATGAATAATGATGTCTTAAAGATCACTAAATATCAGTATATATGAATCACCTTTAATTTTTACTCATATGGTATTTCAGTGTAGATGTACTGTAGTGTAGTTTTAAAACCTGTATTTAAAATTTCTGTATTAACCTTCTACAAGCCTCTGCATGTGTGAGTCTTTCAGATTGCTGGGTAAAAGTATAACACGTTTTTAATTTTAACCAATACCACTAAATTGCCCTTTAAAGAAAAATGTGTGGCCGGGCGCGGCGGCTCACGCCTGTAATCCCAGCATTTTGGGAGGCCGAGGTGGACGGATCACGAGGTCGGGAGATCAAGACTATCCTGGCTAACACACTGAAACCCCATCTCTACTGAAAATACCAAAAATTAGCAGAGTGTGGTAGTGGGCACCTATAGTCCCAGCTACTCAGAGGCTGAGGCAGGAGAATGGCATGAACCCGGGAGGCGGAGTTTGCAGTAAGCAGAGATTGCGGGCCACCGCACTCCAGCCTGGGCGACAGAGCAACACTCTGTCTCAAAAAAAAAAAAAAAAACTAACAAATGAACCTAACAAATAAATGAAATGAGACCCCACCTCTTTTCAAAAAAAAAAAAAAAAAAAAGGCTGTGTATTCCACTAGTGAGTGTGTCATTTCCCCATATCTTTGCCAATAGTTGATATTATCTTTTAATTTTACTGGCCTGATACATAAATAGTATCTGATTATCTTAATTTAATGTATATTTCCATGACGGTGAAGATCTTTTATATTTCCACTTTTTTTTTTTTTTTTTTTAAAGACACGGAGTCTCACTCTATCACTCACTGCTCGAGTGCAGTGGTATGATCATAGCTCACTGCAGCCTTGAACTCCTGGGCTCAAGCAATCCTCTCACGTCAGCCTCCCTAGTAGCTGGGACCTCAGCTGTGGGCCACCACATGATGCCTGGCTAATTTTAAAAGATTTTTTAGAGACAGGCTTACTATGTTGCCCTGTCTGGTCTTGAATTCCTTGCCTCAAGCAATCCTCCTAGCTCAGCCTCCTGAGTAGCTGAGATGACAGTCACCAGCCACCATGCCCAGCTCAATGGCCACGTGTATTTCCTATTAAGTGCATTTCCTGTACCTATCCTCTGCCCATTTTTCTACTCAGTTGTTTGCCTTTTCTTGCTGCCTCCTTTCCTGTGTGCTCTGAAATCTGCCAAGGTTAGCAGTGCTGCTTAGCCTCTTGCAGAGGTTGATGATAGGCTATGGAATTTGTTTTTCCTCTTCTTTCAAAATCAGAATGCTGTGTGCCAATTTCTAATATTCTGGCCTTTTCCCCCTTCCCTTTGATTCCTTAGAGATCACCCAATAGGTTTCTCAAGCCCAAATTCCCTTATGTCACTGGGGCACCACCGATAGCTGGGCCTGGAGCTCAACTACAGGAGAGTAGGGCTTCCTGTTCTTCCTCCCCATCATGGACTTTCAGGCTCTTTTAACCAGGTTTGTTCTCTTTTTCCTGGTGAAGATCATTCTTCTTAATGAAGATGTGGAATTAAACCCAGAAGCTGGAGAATTCTGCCTTCTCTGTTTATGCTGGGTCTTCTTCCCTAAGCAGAGACACCTACATCTGTTTTTTTAAAACCCTCCTTTATTTTAATAAATAGAAATTTTGTTTCTGTTTTGTTTTACTTTAAATAAACAAACAACTCCTTCTAGACTTTGCTTTTTCTGCCATTGTTCATGTGGACCCATTCCACTATGGATTTGTGCCCCACTTTCCATTTATTGTACATGTCCTTTTATAATTTGAGCTCCAAGAGTTCCCTGTGTTATTACACTAAAGATGGCAAAATGGGTTTCTTCTTGTGTCCCAACTTTGCTCAATTCATTGTGGCTGACTAGGATGCTAGGTAGGAGAGAATTTGAGAATGAGATTGAACTTTATAGGAAAAAAGTACATGATTGATAAATGACGTCTGGCTAGAACCCTTGAGGATTAATCTAGATGGCTGAGATTTGGGTATTTTTTAGCATCAGGTTTTGGTGTTGGAAGGGCTCCTCCCCTTTCCCTAGTCTCAGGCAATTGTATCATCCCTAATTTTTCTCTGACTTTGAGATGTATTCTTACTATGCTCTTAATAAACTCTTAAAACTTCATGATCATGTTTGCCCAAGGTTTTGTCCCTTTAAAAATAAAAAACACAAGGCCGGGTTTGGTGGCTCACGCCTGTAATCCCAGCACTTTGGGAGGCCGAGGCAGGCAGATCACGAGGTCAGGCGATCAAGACCATCCTGGCTACCGCAGTGAAACCCTGTCTCTACTAAAAATACAAAAAATTAGCCGGGCATGGTAGCGGGCACCTGTAGTCCCAGCTACTCAGGAGGCTGAGGCAGGAGAATGGCGTGAACCCGGGAGGCAGAGCTTGCAGTGAGCTGAGATGGAGTCACTGCATTCCAGCCTGGGCAACAGAGCGAGACTCTGTCTCAGAAAAACAAAACAAAACAAAACAAAACAAACAAAAAAACCCACATAGGCCAGTACAGTGGCTCATGCCTGTAATCCTAGCACTTTTGGAGGCCAAGGCAGGCAGACCACTTGAGGTCAGGAGTTCAAGACCAGCCTGGCCAACATGGTGAAACTCCGTCTCTACTAAAAATACAAAAATTAGCCGGGCATGGTGGCAGGTTCCTATAATCCAGCTACTCAGGAGGCTG